GGGGCTCCCCCCATAGCAAATGTTCAATATTTAAAAGCATCTATAAATCTTATTATATGCAGTTCGAGTCAATTGGGTCGTGAATAATTATCAAACCGAAGCATCCTTCCTTCTTTTTTCCTCAGTTTTCTCTTTTCGTTTTCTTTTTCTTCCTATTTTTTGGGAGCGAGCTGTACGCCTCCTACGCCCCCCCCCCCCCCCCCCCCCCCCNCCCCCCGATCCACGTATGGCTCATGCGGGCAGCTATTTTAGGCAATGGCGCTCATATCTGTTTGTTGAAGATGGCACCATGAAAGTGACCTTAAAATGTTAAATGAAATATTCCGTATTCCAATGTTCCTGACAGTGTGCGAACTATCTTGCGTTTCATAGATTCTGAAGTTCAACTAATTGAGAAAAAGTATCATCAATTTTTTCACTGATTCTTAATCTGTAATGAAGACCCTACGGGAATACCAGGTACCTTAACGAGAATCGTGAGTTAAACACAGACCGGGATACCCCGAAGCACAGAAGCACGGCTCATTTTTTAAGGGTAAGAAAATAAACTCTAAATGAACTCTCCCTAAATTATCATTCATTCTGATTCGCTCGAAGAGTTCGTGATCCCAAAAGAAAACTTGGTGGTTCTCAATGCGGAGCCCTTACTACTTTCGAGGAAAATTTTGCCGTGCTGAGGAAGAACGCCGTATGAGCCATTCAGTCGTTGCCAAATTTTATTGGATTAGTCAGGCATTTTCAGAAAAACTTTTGAATATTTTTCTATCAATTTTCTAGAGAATTTTGTTCATATTTTAATCTGAAACATCTGAAAATTTCAAGGAGAGATATCGGTAATTTTTTTCAAAAATAAACATTTTATTCAAACAAATTTGGCAATGTCGGAATGTTGATACGGCGTTTTTCCATTATTAGGACGGTGGAATTGCTCCCTCTTGGGCCCCGTGTGCGCATCAAGGGCGCAACTGCACTTTCTAAAAGCAACGATAAATTACGAGCAAAGCTCGGAGCCACCGCTCCTCAGTAGGCAACGGAACTTGACAAACTCAGTTCACGTTTCCTTAACTTGTTTTCAGCATTTCAGCAAACTAATTTATTTCCCTTAAAGTCCCGCCGAGTCCCACCCCCGAGCACGGAGCTAATTTGATTTGTTTATTAACTTCTTTCCTCTGTTTATTCACTAATCACAACGTGCGCGAATCGTCGCTCTGTAGGGACTCTCCGGAGAGACGGAGACTCACATTCTCCTCGTGTGTAAACGTATCGGAGCTCTCGCAAAAATATCAGCCTGCGCAATCGCGTAAACACTCAATTATTCTGCCGTACGAATGCACTGAAAAAAAAAATCTCGGTGTATTTACAAAGAAAAGGGTAAAATTACCAAGAATTCAGGGTTGTATTTGATCCCAGTTTTTTCTTGGTAAATTTACCATTTATGGAATTGGTAATTTTACCGAAAAATCTCGGTAAAATTATTGAACTTTCTCGGTAATTTTACTGGACCTTGGTAAAAATGCCAATATTTTTTATCGATTGAGGTAGAATTACCGAGATGAAATGGCAAAGTTACCGGAAATTGAGTACCAATTAAAGTGGTATTCTTACCTGAAAAAACAGTAAAAATGCCGGTTTTTAGGTAAGCTTACCAGCCTGTCTTGGTAAAATTACCAATAGGAAGAACGCCAAGCCTTCAGATTTCCCCAGTTGGAATACGACTTTTCAGGGAAATCTGTAATTGTTTATCCGCCAATTTTTCAGAGAATGGACCACTAGACAAGGTACGAATTTCAGCATTCTGATACATGTTCCTTACCTGAAATTTCACGTAGAATACGACGCGCACGACAAAAATTACGGAAATCAACTCCTTCCAAAGATATTTAATGATTCTTGATGCGTGAATTCAAACAACCCGCTCATGAAAACTCAATGCTCTGCGTGATTCACATCGTGCGCTAAACGTTATCATGACAGTCTCTGCATATAAAAATCTGGCAACCTCAATCTTGACGCTTTGACTCATCTGTAGCAAATTGATTATAGTTTGAATAACACATGGTGGGAAATGAACATTACTCGATTGAGAAGCTTGTTGAAACCGTTGTAGTGCGCGATTTGATTCGCGCAGAGCTTTGAGTTTCTTGTGAGCGGGCAGTTCAAATTCCTCGTAACCAATGTGTAATAAAAACGTTAATATCTTCGTTTGGAGTTTGTTTCATTAGTTTTCGTTGCAGGAATCGTGCTCTACGTGAAATTTTTATCAAGAAACATGTATCAAAATGCTTAAATTCGTGCCCTGTCTAGTGGTCCATTGTATTCTTAAACCCGATTTAAATTATACTACAAGGCTCCTTAAAAATATGCATTTTATTTGAGGAAATTTGGAACTCTCAAATGTTAATACGGTGTTCTTTCTCGCAAACCAGTGGTTAGGCTGATTAGCAGATTGACTGGTGGTCAAAGTGACCACTGGTTTGGTGACCAGAGGTTGACAAGAAATCTTACACACGGCCCTTAGTAAGAAATGCTGTGACATCCGCGATGCCTTTGGAGAAATGTTTTTATTGAAAAATTTGCACCACTTTGGTAACGCTGCTGTGATGAAACACCGTTTAATCAAACTCCGAGGATTTCACGGCAAACACGATTGTAAATGCAACGTAGAAAACCCGTAATAGTAAAAACTGCCGCTACTCGTCGTGCCGAAGGAAATTAGAGCGCCTGCAATTTTTGTGTATGCAACACGGACATCCTAAGAACACGAATAGTTGCATCCAGACCTACGCATTTAAAAAGCCGCAGCGCGCAGCGCCTTCAATTTTTCTCGCTTGTAATGACAAAATGGGTCACTCATTGCATTCATACGTCGGTTTTGCTCGAAGATAGGGTGGCTTGAATATTTAATTAGAGCGAAAAAAAAAGAGAAAGAAATACATATCGATGGTGAAACTGCAGGAATGCGTGTCTCTGTTTGCGGCGTTGCAGATTTCCTATCATACTCTATTTTCTACGTGGAAAACTACTAAACGTCATGTGTTGATAATTTCAGTGCTTTTTCTACTCTTTTTAAAGAATATTCTCTGAAAACTTCATGCCATGATGTTAGTTTGGTCTTCTATTAAAAAATAAAATAATAGCGGAGATTTCGAAACACTGCAGCCGAGATACGCATTTTTGCAGTTTCACCGTCGACATTAAATTAATAATCTAAATACAAAATAAAATGGAGAATATTCATGAGGCAATCACTCGCCTGACTTTATTGGAAATCGCACACTTTACATTTGCCTAAATCTTCTCCAGTATAAGTATCGTATCCATATGATCATTACTATCTTCTGCATGTGGGAGCTCTACCAAATGGTGGAATTCATGGGACCATTATCGGCAAAAACGAGCGTAATTTAGACCTATCGTGATCATACGAATTCTGAGCATATGCAATTCTGAGATTACATTACCTTGAAATTGATAAAACACAATTTTTAGGCTGCAGGAAGAATTTTTGCAGCAAAATGCCCTAACTTTTCTATTTTTATGATACAGTCAATTTCTACTTTTCTTCTAGTGTACCACTTACCTATAAATTTAATAAATATTTTCAGGTACTGTGTTCCTGAATGAATGCTAATTTAGTGATGTACCTGAATGAATGCTAATTTAGTGATGTACAATTAACTAATTTTAAACTTTCCAGGAGATATTGTTCTTTCCTCAGGATCGATGGTGCCACCAATATCATCATAACTAATTATTTTGCATTCATGTAATATTCATTATCTAACTTTCCTTCACTGCTTTCTCTGATGCTATATATATGAATGCTTATTTTTTGCATACTGCTCCGTAGTTCCTGTAGTTGCATAATACCCTCTGTAGAACTTTCGTAAACTCTCAGAGTGGATATCTTGACGATCTTCGTTGTTTTGTATTTTGTCCCCTTCAGCCAAGCGACCGCCTGTTGAGGAGACTGCCAGTTTCCTCCAGTCACTCATAGCCAGCCACGGACCTAATTACTTGGAGAAACTGTTTGGTAGCAAAGCCAGGGATGCTTTGTCACCACTCGGAGGAGTAGAAAAAGTTGCGATAACCTTATCAGGTAAAACCCTTCTTCTGAAGGTCTCTTTTCATTTCCCTTTCCACGGAGAAGGGTTGCATAAAGTTTAGTAGAGCCTTTGTGTTTCTCTTACATCATAGCCTGCCTGGCAAAATCAATAATGCCTCAGCGTCATAAAGTGTTGCAAGGATTAAATTTACGAGGACGCTACATACTAGAGGATCTTTTTAGTTAACGATGTGCGTGCTTATACGTTGTCATATTAAAATTACTCGCAATATTGGTGTTTTGAAAAGAAGCAGACTTGGTGTTAGTTAAGAATCTCGCAGATGTTTTCATAAAAAATACGAAGGATTTAAAAGAAACCGATGGCTTTGTCTTAATTGATGCAGTTTGGTGAGCTAATACCCATCCATTTGACAAAAGAGAAATCATTAAAAAATGTGGCCCAAACTGTACGCAACAAGATGGAAAAATAGATTGTCGCCGGTGAAACTACCAGTCCACGTACCTCGTTTGCAGTGTTTAAAAATCTCCGCTCTCATTTTATTTTTTTGAAGGAGAACAGGTCAATATCACCTCTTGAAGTTTTCACAGGATTTTTTTCGCACCGAGAAAAAAAAATCACGGATTTTTTCAAGAATGGACCTTGAATAGTTTTCTATTTAAAAAAGAAGAATGACAGGAAGTTTACGACGTCGCAAATTGAGATACGTGGTTTGGTCGTTTCTCCGTCGATATATCTCTCGGCGTGACCCCAGCTTAATTTTCCAATGCATCTGCTTGAGCCGAACACTCTCCTCCTCAGACTTGTAGTGATACTCATCAGAGCTCAAGATTTATGACACTATTAGAAAATGCTGGCTTTTTGGCCTTGCTTTCCCCGCAAATTCCCCTAAATTTTTTACTCAGTTTCTTATAAAATACACTTTCCAACAGAATCACAGACGATAGAGGATTTCGGCGCTGCGTTACACTTGATGCGGTCCGACCTAGAACATCTGCGCTCGGTCTTCATCGCGGTGGAGAACGGGGACTTGGGAATGCTCAAAAGTCTCGGCATCAAGGATTCGGAACTAGGCGATGTCAAATTCTTCCTGGAGAAACTCGTCAACACTGGATTTTTGGACTAAGCAGATCCTCGAAAAGCAACCCCTTCCATCTCTGTTCTGTCTTTTTTTAAACTCCGGTCCTTTTTCAATTACTCAAAAACAAATCCTCTTTTTATTTTTATTTTTCTATGTTGTTTTTAAGGATGGACATCATCGAAATCACGTTGATTTTATTTTTCTTTTGATACATAAGAGCCAAGTGCGCGTGTAGATACCCGAGTTCAAAACTCGATGATTTTATGTGTATAGTTTTGGGGATGTATCAGAAGTATTATTTAGAAGTTCATTTACAGGTGTGATGGACACAAAAACTGCAGGCTTGCAAATTCCTTCCACGGAAGAAGACTTTCCTGAACACAAAGAATCCGATATTGATGTCGCAACTACCTACAGTATGTCTAAAATTAATACCACATTTTTTAGAGTAATTTGTGACGTTAATCATTTCTGAGGGTAAATTTGTTGGACAGACTTCCTACTAGATTTATCTGATGTAGATCCTTCATTGTGAGAAAATACAAAATTTGGTATTGTTAATGGGTGGAAGAAAGAGCTTGATAACTGAACGCTAGTAGGGGACTACTTATTCCATTTTAAAAAAAAAATGAAAATACAAATACGATAAAAAAATAGTATAAAAAAGAATAGTATAATAAAGAAATGTATGGAGAAATAGTATAATAAAAGATCATAATAAGAAAATAAATGACGTTGAAATGCTAGTCTCGGAAAACTTTTTAAATAAATAATGCTTTTGAAAATTAAAAAGAAAATAAAAACCTACAACAACAATTAAATACTTTTACTTGTCATTATGTCTGCATAAGGAATCTCAATTTAAGTTTAACTTCAAACTTGACTCAGATCTTTCAAAACACAGGGCCTTGGTCATTATTAAAAAAACAGATGAATTGAGATCAAAAAATAAATTATAGTAAAGACCAAAGAACTTTAAACTACCTCAAATCCAATCTGATACATTTTATGAGCGACTCTCTTTCTTTTACCTATTTTCAAGCCTTCATCTTGTCGAGTCGGGATGAATCTTAAAAAATGCTGGTCAAAAATTGCCTAGTAAAAGTCTGGCTGTCTTATCTTGTTATACTATCACCACTCGGAGTGACTGTAAAAGTCTCCGCTTCGTAAACTAAGTCAATTTTTTAAGGAGTGGAATACAAATATTGTAACTTTACCTCGTTAAGAGTTATAATTTTGACGAGGGATTTTATTATTAATCATAAATTATATTTTAAGCATGGAGAGAGAATCAATGTCAACTCGAGTCAGCGTTAAGACTTTCAATTAAAAATATCAGATATGACTTAGAAATCTAAGCAAAATGTCAATCGCTGATATTTTTATTGATTTTGTACAAAAGTTTACTCTTTTTTTGTTTATAATGTTATAAATTTTATCCTAAGTTTTTCAAGATGAGGAGCGTGTTTAAGTGGATCCAGGTGATCAAGAAAATACGAAATTGCGCCCAACTGCATGGTAAATAGGACATAACGTATAATCAAATTCATTAGACTTCTTTCATTTTCTTCTCCTCCTCACTTTTGCACAGGAAGAAAAACGTCTCCTCTCTCCTGAACTTTTGGCCCTAATGAGGTAAAAATCCCTTCACTTACATAAGAATAGATTTAATTTTAGGAATGAAAAGGAAAGAACAAATCAACTGTAAGGAATGCGCGTTTTTTTGCATCACGTTTCGCAATAATTGTGTTAAGAATCATTATCAATCACTTGTTAGTCTCCATCAAGAGGCAACGGAATGCGAAAATCCATATGTTTTTATGAGCTCATTCAAAAATAGGAGGGAGAAAGCCTGATAAAATGAAGCGTTCCTGATCGTCGAGCGTGCCGAAATTTCTTGTCTCTCAAGGACAACGGCCCCAGGTAATTACAGATGGGGCTATCTAAAAATTACGGATCCGTAAACCGTCACTACAGAAGAACTTTTGAACACCAACTCCATTGTGAGATTAAAACCGATAATTCTAATATTTGGACCTTTCACCAAGCATGTTTATAGGTTTGCCTAAAAGACGATTTCAGAGAGGTCGGTCGGTCAGTACATCAACGGTATTGTCCTGGAAAATTGCGTTCCGTGGGCTAGTTAATGTAGTCGCACTTTCGAAGTATACCTAACTGAAAAAAAGTATCCTCGATTATACAATCAACAGTTTGGTTCGACAAATCGAAATTCATTACTAGTATTTGGTTTATACAACCTGATTTTTACTTTCTCGCTCCCCTAGGGTAGAGAGGAAGTATTGTCATCCTCCAAGAAAAAAAAAAAAAAAGTTTTTTTTTATTCGTGAGTGATGGCACTATAGAGCAAGGTAAGTTAAAGTGGACGGTATGCAAGCTGTAGGGTAGAAAAAGAGAAGGACTATAAAAGAAGGAGACACATTTTACAAAGAGAAACTATCGTAGAGATACGTGTTTTCAATTTCAATATTTAACATATCATAACATGCATGTGCAATACCGACATACCGTGCTGCGGCACCCCGCACTCATCTCTCATCAAAGCGATGAGCGTACAATGTGAAACACCTAAGGTCCACATGAGGACTTATAATTAATATTTATTTCGCAGTGCTCTGCATCTTTAGAGACCTAGCCAAACATCATTTTGCATGAATGAAACCAAACATATCGATACATATCAATTATACCAAATACTTAGTTCGTAAGAAATAAGAAATATTTTTTTGAATTTTAATATTTACATATCATAGTATATTTAAAACTATTAGTGTTGTACTTCCTGATCTCGGATCAAAACCAGCCGTATCACTACATATCAGTTAACGACTAAAGTACCTATGAAAGCATATCAAATTGAAATTTTAAAGTCTGCTGCACCAAAACACGAGATTTATCATTTTGAAATTGTTTAGTTCTAATAATGATAAACTTATTGTAATTAGTCGATCTGTACATGACTCTTGGGTTCATGAATGTGCGTTAGCGATCCCTGGTAGCAAAATTTTACCATTTGTACCAAGATGGTATATTCCATTTCAAAAGTGGTGACACCCCCCCTCCAGCTACTTCATAGCTCTTGACTTGATCAGGTTATACATCTAGAAACTTTGAGCAGGGAAATCAGTATTATCCAAATTACAACATAATAAAGCCGATCTCACAGAAATCGGATTTTTCACCATCTAAATTGGCTGTCTATTGTTGTATTTGAGTGGTGCGGCATCATCTTAGATAGTACGACGCACATTTAAAGTATCAAAAAGTATTAGGGGTCATCCCCTAAAATTTTGGTGCCACCCCAATGAGTTGGATGACATGGACATTTCCAATTAATTTTGGTTGGATCGCAACTCAAGTTATGAGTACCACAATCTTTGGGTGAGTATAACCTAATGTATTGTGTTACTACCACAATTAATTGGGGTACTACCACAATTTATTGGAAATGTCGAAGTTGGAATTTACCTCCTACCTCTTTTTTTTCGTGTAGACTTTCAGTATGCCAGTCGTTCAAAGAGCGATTGGAAAAAATGAGCTATCTGCATCTGTAAGGCTCACGCCAGAATATTAGCTGATTTCTTTCACGCTAGGTACCCAGTCCGCTTTATGGTCACTTTTTAGCTAATATCTTTTGTTGCAAATCTGTCAGCATGGCAGCATGCTACTTCGAGTCCAAGAATGAAATGTAAAAAGGGATCGCTAAAATTATTGTCATTAAGGCGCGTTAAATTTACAGAGTTAAGTCTTTTTATCATTGTAATCGGAAGCCTATTTCTTTAAAATTGTGTGCCTCCAGGGCAGCTTTATTTCAGCATGTTTGACAGTATGAATTTCATCTATAAAACATCATATCCTCTTTCAATGTTCTTAAATTATTTATTGATTGTGCAATGTCTTGAGTTAATTATATAATTTTATTTTGTAAACATGAGTCGTTTATTTCTGTGAAAGTCTGATAATAGTTTTTTTTTTTACCTTCGTATTTTTTTCATTCATGCATTTTGTAACTGATGCAGTCACAGAACAGAATGACGGCATTTTACAATGCCCTGAACTTTTTTATTCTATTACCTTAAAAAGATGGAACGAAAAATCAAGTCCTCCAAGTGATAAAGATATCAAAGGCGCTATATTTTTAGTCAGTATATAAAGCGAATTTTCCCTGTAAATTATTGACTGATCGATTGGATAAGAAGCAGATGGACCACCAGTTAAACCATTTCAAAACTTTGTGAGGCCGAAGTTAAGAGTGCCACTTGCACGAATTATTTTTAATAAATCGAGGGCTGAGGAATATTACTGCTTAACTGACAATTTTGGCGAAAACGAGTTTGTGACTTCGCCGTATTCTAAAGTATGATAAATGCAAGCTGATATTTTCAGTTTTTTCCAATTTCTCAAGGGAGCGCTGTAATGGAACTTTAATGTGTAAAAGAAAATTGCAAATGTATATTCAAAATTACAAAAATGGCAAAATTTCTCTTCGTCCTATAAAATCATCAGTCCCAAGGCGCATAACTGCAGTTTTTGCTATTCCGAGAAATACGCGTTTGAAGTTTCGAAGTCACATGGATTCATATGGCGGAAGGAAAATTCAAACTGAATTTTTGATGCTCTAAAATTAGAATTTGGAAGCAAATTTTTCACAGAATATGCATTAAGACTAGTTTCCTTCGAAATCATTAATATATCGACGGTGTAAGTCGGCAATGACATAACTCGGTTTGCGACGTCGCAGACTTCTTGCCATACTTAATTTTTCAAACGGAGAACTACTCAACGGCAGTTCTTTAAAACTGCCTTGATTTTTCTTCTCTGTTCGGAGAAATTCTGCAGATACTTCAAGGAATGATGTCAATTTGTTCTCCTTTGAGGAAATAACATAGAGGCGGAGATTTTCAGACACCGCAAACGAGATTGTGATTGCCGACTTACGCCGTCGATATAGATTTTTTCCAAAGGACGGCACTTATGCGCCTTGTCTTCCAAGCCCCTCAATTTACAATTCAGTAAAACTGTTATTTCTTAAGCGGTTACCTACTGTGCGACAGAACGGAGGAAGAGGCTTGAGGAGACGAATCAATCACTCATGACCAGAGTCACACATTTTGGGTGTTGCACGAGAAAAATTACCCACGGCTTTTCAGCTTGACTCAGGTGCAGCCCTCCAACTTGCCGCTTCGTAGGAGAAACCTTATTTTTTAATGAACACTTAAAAATCTGCCGTATTTTTTTTTTAGATGAGATGAGAAATATTATTTTAATGTTTCATTCAAGTCTATATTTCTATGCTTCTGATAGAGAGGAGAAAAGAAGTAAGAACCTTTGAACGAACAAAAGCAGGTCCGAAAAGTATAGCCCCTGAAGGAAACGTGCCCGATGAATTGAAACAGCTCAAAAGACAGCTGACTGACAATCAGTGTCACTATCAGCTCGCTTTTGAGCTCTTGCGTCTATGATGTAAAGATAATGAACTTTCATTATGTTCCTCCGAATGATCAAATGAGAAAGTAAAAAAAGAAAGGAATAAAAGATAAAGACATGATCAAATGAACTATCAGTTTTAGCACGAAATAGTTGAAGAGCGCGCCGATTTCGAGGTCTGAGTTAGCTGAGAGTACATAGATTTTAAAACTGAGCCGAAAAAGAATAGATGTCTCGACTACCTACACAAAGTTGCACTGTTTCGAAGGCGCTAAGAAAGCAAGGCCGCATCCGCTTTTTTGGCTTTTCGAATTTCGAAAATTTGAGTTGAAATTCAAATTTTCCATAAAAAAACCCCCTTACACTTAGTTTCACAAATATCTATCGAATAGGAGCCGTCATCGCTATTGTAGGACCAGTAGGACTCCAGACGGTAGCAAACGATACCAGTCAGTTCCAGTATCAGTATGTTAGCGCGCCTTCATTTTCGTCTGATACCGTGCAATACTTCAGTGGCGGAATAGTTGCACGGAGCGCCTTTCAACAGTGTCGCTTCAACTCAGTGGCAGGAGATCACGATCACCGCTGAAATTACATTCCATCGCGTGCGCAGCTACACATTTTTTCATAACGGACGGTAAAATTACATTCACACCTCATTTGCGAAGTTTTTCACCGCCTGTTTTATACGGATAACCCGATTTTATTTAAATGAGGGGTGGGAACAAAAACATTTCAAAGATATTAGAATTATGTTTATTTTCAAAGGAGTTTAATAACTTATAATGCGTATCTATGATAATCGGCAAAAATATTATTTAAACCGAAGACTTTGATATACTCTCATTTCCGGGAATCTGCCGAATTTTTTTGAAAACCGAAACTTCAGATGAATCTAAATTATGTATTTAACATGATCGTGTCCTTTCAGTATAAATTTTTTGGTTTTTCCTCTCAAATTCTGTATTTTTCTTCATTCATTCAAGCTAAATTACCTATTCACATTTGACACTTTTCCCTTAAACAGAATTTATTTTTATTTAGTTCTATTTTCCATTGTTTCAAGATGCACAACAACGAACTGGTTAATGAAATTGATTGAAAAAGCTATATACAAAGAAGACATAAGAACCATAGATGAAATCGTTACGTAGTAACACCATTTCATAACTGTAAGATGAGTTAAATAAATTGCCGAGGTGTCAGATATTCATTTTTATTCTATTTCATAACTTTGAAGCTGAAGCTTTTCGGCTTTTGGCCATCTTCAGAGCGTTATGTTTAACATAGGTAAACTATAAACTATAATAACGATGGAACACTTTTATGGTTGCAAACACAACAACGTACCGGTCATCTGGGCGTATATTGGCGTACAATTCTATTCCATAGTTCCCTTAGTTGTGAACGTTCTTCATGACATATGAATGATGAAGGAAAAATCCAAGGAAGTCTATGCTTAGGGGTGGCACGAAAGCCAAATACCGCGAAGGAGAACTTTTGAGTCACAAAGGTCGTTATAGTCCTCCAAAAATACTATGTTTGTCGATGCAACTATCCACGATTAAAATTGAGCGACATCATCATGGTAGAAACTTAGCATAATCATGGTCCATTTCAGAAAGGGAAGATTCATCAACATCCCGACAACCATGCGCAACCTAATCAATACGACATTAACTCCTTCTCCCAGTGTTTGTTTGTCTTTCATTTCTAAATTGAGTTTCGCGCGGCTATCAAGAAGCTTTACGATGTCTCGTGAGGCCTAAAAAGCGACGAAGTTTGCGACATTTTCAAGTGCGACAACACGATGTAGAGCGAGTCCGCGGAAAGCGCTCATCCAGTCTAGACCATTGCGAGAATGTCCTCACGGCCAAGCCCTTGGCACCTGGGAGCAGATTATTAGATTATATGGGTCAAGAGTCGAATGTTGGTAAAGAGATGGTTTCTTGGCTATGCGACTTGGCCCAATCGATAGAGGATCATGGTTCATCGATTTCATTGGAATTATTTTGCGGTGGTCGCTATTTTTAAGAATCAAATCTGAAGATGGAATACTTAAACTAAACTTTTTTATCATGCCGTAAAGCCTTGGAAATGAAGTATATGGAGCAGAATTTTAAGTTCTTACTTGATTGTTTGGATAAAAAAATATAACCCATTCTAATTCTCCCACGAGGAGAGATCTACAATAGAAACAATTACAGATTCTGTAATAGAGAATTACAGATAAATACCTAATTAACGCGTCTCACGAATGGAAATTTTCGGTATTTTGAATAAATATCGTCCATTTAAAATTGGCCTTCAGTTGTTCCGCGTAGGCAACACGTTTACCATGAAGCACAAATTGTGAGCTATTTGGGGAAAAAAACACACATTGTTCTCTCTCCATAAATATTGATAAAAATGTGTACACCTATGGTACACATCGTCGACTTGTGGTCCGCCTTTGCAATTCTGCCGCACAGCGGGCCAATTATTGAAATTGATACACAAAGCTATAGACAAAGAAGACAAAAGAGATGTGGAGGGATCCTATTGGTAGAAGCGGGTCTCTCCTTAAATTTTACTAAAGCCAAATACCCAACTCGGAAGCCTATTAACAGGAATCATCCTCTTGAGGTTCGCCTGCAATTTCACCGCAAAGGTAAAGAAGCATCCCTAGAAGCAGGAATGGTTAGATATAGTTTTTTTAAGAAAGCATACGCTACCTTTCGATTATAATGATCCTGCGTAATTTAAGGTGGGAAACCGCATGCACCTCACAGGCGAACACGAGGATGGAGGCTTCAATATTTCATGATGGCATTAAGAGTCAACTTCTATAGAGAGTTTGGGTTAAAGCTCAAACATTTGAGCACTATAAAATGAAAATCCTTCATGTGGGGACGAGGAAAAGGTCAATTAAAGTTCCTTCCGGATTAATTCGATGCTCAAATAATTTATTTTCTTCCCCTTTTAGTATAAAAGAATTTTCCATCCCGCTTGCGTGTGCTGTGAGGTAAAACAACATAGCGACCTATTTGCTTCAAAATTGATTGATGATTACTGATCCCGCGTTCATCAATTAAACTGTTCATTATTCAAGACTAGGTCCGTGATAATTATGCTGGGGTAAATTGAGTATCACCTTGAAAATTTCAATTTAAACCAGGCGAATTTGACCTCTTGCGCTAGCGGCTCCCGTTTTAATTGGTATCAGGTCGCGTATATTGACGTTTGCCGGGTTTGCAACTCAAATTTAAGGAGAAATATGTTTATGATATAAAATAAGGCCCTGGAGATGTTCCCGGGCTCTATATCGGTAATTATAACCTCCTGCAGAATTGATGTTTGCTTTTAGGTAAAACTTGTGAAACATGCACTCAGCGCATAACAGCGCAAACAGAAGAAAAAAATACTGTAAGGTGTAATTTTTAGCCAACGTGCGCTAAAAATGCAGAAAACTTGAAATCTCGATACAGAGGGGAAAAAGCTCATATGGGCTCGAATTTTTCTCAAAGAGATACGCTGTTTAGTGCAACACTAGTTACGAGCATTCAGGCTGTTACGACTAGTGCGTCTACCGCAGTCAGTTTGGAAAAAAAAAAGACTCCGAGAAAGATTGATGGCTACGCAGGCCCGCCACAAGGGGGGATACTGGGTCCTTGGCACCGGGGCCCGTGACGTAGGTGACAAACCACTACGAATTCATGTGTAACCCTCGTCTCGTAAGGAAAAGTGAAAAAATTACCCTAAAAATTCCGCAAAAGGTGAATAAAGTTTCAAAAACACACTAGGGCACTATAAAATTTTTCTTACTTTTTTAGAGATTTCTATCTATTTTCAAGATTTTGAGTAGGTATATATAGAATGATATTTTTAGTAACTGCGTTTCATTTCCTTCCGTTGTCGGATGCTATGGGCATCCTCGACTTCAATGGCTCAACTCCCTCGCCATAGACGTACGAAAGGGGAGTCCAAGGGGGCCCGGCTCACCCTAGAATTGAAAAGTATCGTCTGCCCCCCCCCCCTAAAAAAATTTAAAGATGTTTTGAATGCAACAGTTCGAAAGTGTTCGGTGCTGAAAGTAAAAAAAAAGGTGTAATTATTCTGCAGAAATTGATAGCAAAGCTCCATCATAAGAGCTTCAAAATGCGTCCAAATAGATTTAAAATTTCAAAAATTTCCCGGGGGAGGCCCCCCGGACCCCCCTCTGCGCTAGGGGCCCGGGCCAGAAAACTGGTACCATGTTGAACCCTGGAATTAATCATAATCTTGACAACGTCGCTTTATGGCGACTCATACTGCGAGTCCTATTTCAATGTTGATAAGCACCTGCGTATAGCAGCCCCTTCCCCTTGTTAGCTAGTTCGCCAATACATCTCCTCGTCGGACCACGTTCTCTGTTTTCTTTCAATAAAATATGTAATTCATATTCCAATAATGACTACTCCGAAATATACCCAAAACACCTATCCTCATTAGGTTATGGGCCCAGGATTACGCGGAACGCGACGCGGTATTGTCGTCCTGTGGATTAATCTGTTTTGTGGTTCCTGTGGAATAATGTGACTCGATGCTCGGAAAAGGGCAGAAACTGAAAACTACTTTCATCATGTTGTGCGCACTGAATAATATAAACGAAAACCCCGTTCTTTGTGTCTAAAATTAAAAAAATTTAAAACCATCTTGTGAAGGGATGAAATAAAAATTAAAAATTAAAACCCCATTTGTGAAAAATAAAATTAAAATTAAAATTAAAAAAAAAAATTAAAAATTTTGTGAAGAACTGAAGTGACGGTAGTTAATTCTGAACTTTGTGAAACCAGAAGTTCAGGAAAATTAAAATAACTTTGAATTTTATAAAATTCGGAACTCTTTGAACTTTTGAAAGATAAGAAAAATTAAAATCATTCTGAACTTTGTGAAATCTGAAAGACTAAAGTAAAA